TTTTTTTTTTTTTTTTTTTTTTTTTTTTTTTTTGAGTTGGGAGTCTGCACCCAGGCTGGAGTGCAGTGGCACACTCAAGGCCACAACCTCAACCTGCTGGGCTCAGGCGATCCTTCACTTCCACTTCAGCCTTCCACATCGCCAGAACTACAGGCAAGTGCTACCATGCCCGGCTAATTTTATTGTACAGATGAAGTCTCGCCAAGTTGCCCAGCCTGGTCTCGAACCCATGGGCTCAGGCAATCTTCTCACCTTTGTCTCCCAAAGTGCTGGGATTACATGCTTGAGCAACCGCGCCCAGCCTGTTTTAATATTTTAAATAACTTTTAATATTGGGGGGGAACCCTACCTTGTAATGACATTTATGCTTTTTTTGGTAACATCTTCTACTGTGTTACAAACAGTTTGCTGCTACTATGTTAATCAACAATTTCAGAGACTTATACATAAGTCTACAGTCACTACTGTCATAGAATTTAGAGGTGTCAAACTTTTCTATTTTATTTATTTACTTATTTCAGAGACATAGTCTCACTCTGTCACCCAGGTTTGAGTACAGTGGCATGATCACAGCTCACTGTAACCTTGAACTCCTGGGCTCAAGTGATCCTCCTGCCTCAGTCTCCCAAGTGATCAGGTTTATAGGCACACGCCCTGTGCCCAGCTAATCGTATGCTTTTCTAATAACTTTTTTTTTTTTTTTAGTTGGAATCTTACTCTGTTGCCCAGGCTGGAATGCAATGGCATACTCACAGCCACTGCAGCCTCGACCTGCTGGGCTCCAGTGATCCTTCCGCCTCAGTCTTCCAAGTAGCAGGAACTACAGGCACACACCACCATGCCCAGCTAGTTTTTTGATTTATTGTAGAGATGAGGTCTCTCCAGGTTGCCCAGGCTGGTCTCGAACCCCTGGGTTCAGGCAATCCTCTCACCTTGACCTCCCAAAGTGCTGGGATTATAGGCATGAGCCACCGTGCCTGGCCCCTAATAGCTTTTACAAATATAGCTGTCGTTTCCTGTTCTTAGTTTTGCTTTGTTTTATATCTTAAATGTCTAAAGACCAAAATATTTTTATAAAGATAATTTTGTTGAAAAGGTAGTTCCCACATGTGACATACCTGGTTGAAACGCCAGCATCACGGTATAAATGAGGAACAACAAACAATAGTTGATAAAGCTCTGAAGCATGGGAGTGTTCACTTTGTATCTTTCTGCCAAATACTGGCTGGTGATGGCTGTCCCACATATACACAAGGACAGCATCTGGCCCAGAGCAATCGTTTTCAAAATATTCCTAAAAAATAAAGGAAGAAATCAGAATGACTAGCAAGTAAGTTGCACTTACACACTCACTAAAATGCTAACCACAAAGGGAAATGCTAATTATTCCAGGTGGTCTTTATTTCATTTTATTGCTTACTTTGTGTGCACAAAAATTAAAGTGCTGTCTTTTAAAAGACTACATTTCTATTCTCTTTTACGTTTAACTCCCCTACTCACCCCCACAAGGACACAGTTCCTCATTTCACTGACCATCTATTGATTACTTGGCTATGACATATACTTTTTGAACGGTGTGTGTGTGTGTGTGTGTGTGTGTGTGTGTGTGTGTACCTGCGCATGTGGCATTTTAAAAAAAAAACTCAGCTTAACTCTAGTTTTAAATTCTCCCTTTTCAGTAAGTACTCAACATCTTCTCATCCTTTCCTTCTTCAAGGGACCTGATTTCTTCAACTGCTCTTCTGGAAGGGCATTTTCAATGTCGCCTGCATGTCAGAATCATAGAGCTTAAAAACGGATCCCACCCCAGCTGAGTCTTTGGATGAGACCTCAGAGTGGCCGACGCCTTGTGAGAGACCCTGAGAAAGGGCAGGGCTCAGCCACACTCAGACTCCTGATTCATAAAAACTGTGAGATTACAAATATGCGTTGTTTTAAGCCACTGAGTTGTGGCAATTGTTACACAGCAACAGATAACTGGCACTTTGTTGTCACTCAGCAAATATTGACTTAATAAATGAATGTAAGTGGGTAAAGAAACTACCATATATACCCATATATGACACTTTCCCATTTTCCCGATGAGACAGAATAGTTAGAGAAAGATAAGAAACTATAAAAATGTTGGCAGGCATAGTGGCTCATGCCTATAATCCCAGCACTTTGGGAGGCTGAAACAAGAGGATCACTTGAGCTCAAGAGTTTGAGACCAGCCCAGGCAACATAGTGAGACCTCGTCTCTACAAAAATCAAAAGATTAGCTGGGCATGTTGGTGCCCACCTGTCATCCCAGCTACTCTAGAGGCTGAGGTGGAAGGATAGCCTGAGCCCAGGAGGTTGAGGTCATGGTGAGCCATGTTCATTCTACTGCACTCCAGCCTGGGTGACAGAATGAGACCCCGTCTCACAAAAAAAAAAGCCATGGCACAGAAGCTAAGAGTGGAAACACACTTTAAGAAGGAAAAGATCACCAATATTATGATGTCCAAAACTGCAGAGAGACGTGTCACAGTATGATGGCAAGCTGGAAGGTGCTTGATCTTGGAAGGAAAACTTTTTGTTAGCGGTCATGTCCAAGGTCAGATTTCAATAGGCTAAGTAAGTGGAAGATTTCAATAGGCTAAGTAAGATTACAATAGGCTAAGTAAGTAAGCAAGTGAATGCACCAAGCATAAAGCACCCTTTTAAAAATTGATGAAAAGGAGGAGAATCAAGACAGGGAAAGAGTTTAAAGAATGAGTGGTAGTGCTGAGGACAGGGGTTCCATTGTTTTGTTAAAAAGGCAAAGAAATTCAAGTATGTTTGGAAGATAAGCAAAAGGCAACAAGACTGAAAGTTTGAAGATTTACAAGGAAGAAATTTAAGAGATGACGAAGACAGACAGTTCCTGGAAGGGTCAGGGACCAGGACTAAGAACACTGCAACTTTTATTTCAGATGTTCCCTACATAAATAATTCCATGGATAGGCATAGTGGCTCATGCCTATAATTCCAACACTTTGGGAGCTGAGGTGGGAAGACTGCTTGAGCCTAGGAATCCGAGACCAGCCTGGGCAAATCTCTACAAAAATAAATTTTAAAAAATGAGCCAGGTTTGGTGGCATACACCTGTAGTCCCAGCTACTTGGGAGGCTGAGGGAGAAGGATTGTTTGAGCCCAGGGGCCAAGGCTGCAGTAAGCCATGATCATGCCACTGCACTCCAGCCTGGGTGACAATGTGAGACTCCAGTTCAAAATAAACACACACACACACACACACACACACACACACACACACACACACACACATACTTCTTTGAACTTAAAAAATCAGAGAGGCAGAAAACGTGAGTTCGTTATTAGACAACTTCAGAGTTCATGTAGCTCACTGGTTCTCCACCCCAGCTACGTATTAGAATTAACAGGATTAAAATATGATTTTTTAAAAAATATGATTCCCAAGCCCCAATCAGACCATTTATCTGACAGTCTCTAGGGCGGCGTCTAGAAACTGGCATTCTTTCAGGTCCCCTGGTAACTCTCCCAGGGACCGGTTAAGACCACTGAGTCCAACCTTCTCACATTCCAGATGTCAAAGGGAAGTCCAGAGACGAGGTGAGGTGCCCAAGGTTATCCAATTTGATGTCCAATCTTCTATTACTTACTAGGATGTAGAATTATTTTCTTTCAAGGACCTTCTGATGTTTCTCCTAACTTCAGAATTGTACACAGTTTAAGTCCCCTATACACGAACAAGTTCCGTTTCTAAAGCACGTTTTTAAGTCCAAAAAAGTTAGCCATTGTTACCACTTGGCACATATTAGCAGTACCAGCTACATCACCACTGCTTTTATGCTTGCTTTCAGACATTCTGGGCTTGACATAAATATACTGTACTCCTGTACACAAAAGCGCAACCCCTTGTAGAGAATGCACACGAATGACAATGTACGCCAATCATGTGAACTAAATTACATGACTGGACCTGTGAACACACGTTCACATGTTTGAAAGTTCGAGAACTGAAGGTTGGTATGTATCACGACTTCCTTATTTCTTTGTTCTTTCTTTCAGCTAAACAAGTACTTTGTGTCCAGAGCTGCTAAGCAAAGTGGAAAATACCAAAACAGCAAAGGACACAGAATCTCTGTCCTAAGAGTTTACAAAGTATTCTTTCTGCCAGAATATTTGTGTCAGTAATCTGAAAGTAACCTCAAACAATCTTAGCACAAGAACAAAAAGGTGACACTTGCTAAGAAAAGGAGATTTTTTAAAAATTTAACTAATTAGCATTTTTGTTGAGATGAGGTTTTGCTCACCCCAGCACTTTGGGAGGCTGAGGTGAGAGGATTGCCTGAGACCACGGGTTCGAAACCAGCCTGGGCAACCTGGTGAGACCCCCATCTCTACAATAAGTCAAGAAAAATTAGCCAGGCATGGTGACACACACCTGTAGTTCCTGCTACTTGGGAGGCTGAGGCGGAAGGATTGCCTGAGTCCAGCAGGTCAAGGTTGCAGTGGCTGTGAGCATGCCTGGGTGACAAGGTGAGACTCCAACTCAAAAAAAAAAAAAAAAAAAAAGAAAATAGACTACAAGAGATTTTCTAGCTCCCTTCCTAGCTCCCCAAGTCTCATCTTTAGACGATGCTGTCACAGTTTATTTAATTTTTAATTTTTAAAATTTCTTATATATTTAAAATATAACAAAGTATTAAAAAATAACAAAGTATAATGTGTAATCAACATGTATTCAAGTATCTAACAGCACTGTAAGAAATGAACTACCACCAACATCAATATATCCTCTGGCCAGCGCTTTGGGAAGCTGAGGCGAGAGGAATGCTTGAGGGCAGGAGTTTGAGACCAGCCTTTGCAACATAGCAAAACTTTGTCTCTACAAAAATTAAAAAAAAAATTAGCCAAGTGTGATGGCGCGCACCTGTAGTCCCAGCTACTCAGGAGGCTGAGGTGGAAGGATCGCCTGAGCCCAGGAGGTGGAGGCCATGCTAAGCTGTGATCATGCCACTGTACTCCAACCTGGGCAATAAAGTAAGACCCTGACTCAAAAAAAAAAAATCACCCTTGTGTTCTCCCAGTGACTTATCTCTCCTAAGGTAGCTATTTAGAAATTGGTATTTATTATTCTCATACATTTCTATATATTTTAATATTGATGTAAGTATCCCTAAGCAGCAAACATCATTGTTTTTAAATTTTATATAATAATGAACATTTGTATACCTAACCCTAAATTGTACTCCACATCTTTAAAATAAAAAGTTAAAAAATAAGTAATTTTTATATAGATGGCATCATACTGTATATATACTTCTGCAACTTGCAGTTTTGATCAACATTGTTTGGGTCACCCATATGGATACATTAGTTCTAATTCCTTCTTTTTCATTACTACATAGCATTCACTACATGAATGTGTGTGTGCATACACTTTAGAAAGAAATTCACTACTTGGTCCTGTATATTGCACCAAGAGTTTACAGGAATTTGGGACCAAAGCCAAAGAAAAGGTGAAAGAGTGTTCATTTCATGTCATTATCCCCAGCATATACCTCTCCCAGGAATCATGTGGAGAGGGGACCTGGCTAAGGAAACGGTTCCAATTTTCCTGTATTTCATTGTTCAATGAGTGCCCATCACAACATACATTCTCAGTAACATAATCCTGACAAAAACCTTGATGACAAAAACCTTGATGATTATGATGCTCCTGTTATGCATAGACAGGGAAAATGAGACTCGGAGTGTTTCCCTGATTCACCCACAGTCACACCGTAAGGAAAAGGCAGAAGTCAGTGCTCTTGACTACTAACGGACTGGACCACAGGGTTCAAATCTGCTTAAAGAAAAGAAGCTAGAGAAACTTCATCCCCTCCCTGGAATAAAGTCTCCAAACTGCAGAATCTCAAGTGATGCTCACTTGCGTCGAGGACACTGGGGCCCAGAAGAGGAACATGTTTTGCCTAAAGCCACAGGAACAGAGTGAAAGGGTGAAATGCCAAAATGGAATAATTTAATGAAATGATCTTAGCCAAGGAGCAGCCAGTTTGACACTGCCTAGTCCTGCCATGTTTTTTTAGCAGTTCACTCTAACTTACCCTCTAATCATTAGCCAAGCACAGAACCAGTTTCTCAGAGGTAACTATAGATATTTTCACAATGCCCTCCCCAGCTGGTTTTGTATTAACTAGCTTTTCTATTCCAAGTGTTTGCCTCCAGCCATGGAAAACCAAGCTAACCTAATCTACTGTGATCAGCCCTTCCAGACCTTCGTGATACAGACAGACCCCATCACCAT